AAAATAAATATACAATCATATTTTAAATAACCTGAAACTGATATCGTCAAGCACATTTTAAACAGAAGCTTGTAAATGTCCCCAATCAGCCAAATTATCACCTGTCAAATAGCTGCATATCTAAAATATAGAAATTTTTACTGCATTTATTTTTTTGTATTTTCATTAGTTTCATTACATATTGTGTGCTTACTTTGAGAACAGCAAAAGCTCTCTGGTTAAAATAAACGGTCTTAGTTTACCATTAGATCTCTCAGAAGGCCTTCATAAGTACTCATAACCTATATTATAAAAAAAATTATATTAAATTTGTTATTCAAATCACAAATATTTTATAATTCTTACATGATAGAGAGCATACAAATTATGTATTGTTCGATGTTCCCAGCCTCCATGATGGACTGCATCCTTTACCATTGTGACTTCAGGACCATTGAACACAGAAGGTTCATTCATATCATTCCAAATATATGTACTCAAAGTAGTACCAGGAAAGTTCTCTAACATGTATCTAATACACAAAATAAATATTTTAGAGAAGTGATTAGACACAACATTTTCAATTATATCAAATAACTAAATCATCTTTTATAAAAATATTTTGTACTTGATTGTTAATTAAAAAAATTAATAACATTGCAATTCATTTACTTGTTTCCAAGATAATCCCGAACAGTTGGGTTTACCAAATCCGGGTAACTTGAAGAACCAGGCCAGCACCAACCTAAAACATAAAAATGTCTTTGCATATATTTGAAGCAATGCCATAATATATAAACTATAATATATTAAGATTTTACCCTCATAATCTCGACCATCTCTCTTGACATAATATCCGAGATCTGTCAATTCATTATGCAAAAAATAATTACCATCTCTTTTAATATGAGGATCAACAATTACTACTAAATGCCGTCCTTTGGCTGTTAAATTTTTATTCATATCTAATGCATTAGGAAATCTATTTGTATCCCATGTGAAATATCTAAAAAAAAAAAGATTCATATATAATTACAATACTAAATATTTACATTTGTGATCTACAATACTCTACTTCTAAAAATTCCTTAATTCAATGAATCTATATTTACTTTTTACTATCTGTATACTCAATATCCAACCACATTGTATCCATTGGTATATTGTGCTCATCAAATTTATTGTTAACTGAATTTACAACAACATCTTCTCAATCATTATAATCCATCTACACTGATGGTAAGCCAGAGAGAATTGCTGAAATGGATAAAAATGGTAACCATTTATAATTACATTCAAATATTTTTTACTTATATTTATCATTAAAAAAACGAAATAATAAAAAAAAGTTATCAAATAATTATTTTAACCTGTGGAATTGGTGCAGTGCCCGTCAACTTGGAGTATTGAATAACACATCAAGTGGCTTTGGTCCTAGCATGACAAAAACATCTATTATTCCATTCTCAGAATGAAAATGTGCACCTCTACTTCCTTTTCGCTGTGTATTTCCTAGAAACAAGACATAAATGTTTAACAATTTGTTTAGAATATGAAAGAACTGTTGGTTAAAAAAAATATAATCAGTTACCTGATACAAAATTTACAATGGAGGAAACAACATTTGGGTCATTTTGTCCATAAATATCAACCCAAGTTTCGGCAGCATTTGCCAAAATAATACCTACAGTCTTTTTAGGCTAAAATGAAAGATTAAATAAATAAACATTAAATTTAAAGTAGATACAATCATTTAAAATTATATAATAATGATCATGTATTTCTTTATAACAATCATCATTATTTTAAATAATAAAAAATAATAGAAACGTTAAATGTGCATATAAAATAATTGTGATATGCTTGGGATTTCTAATGTAGCTTAGTATTGATACTCTCTTAAAATCAATTTATTTAAAATTATTATGCATTTTAATAATGCCTTTATTGAAAGTACTAACCCATGGCCATACAAAAACTGGAATAGAGCCATATAATGCCATGGGATTATCAAGCTCATATTCAAAAACATCAAGGTTATATACATCGATAAGGGTCTCCATTAGATTTTGGCTTTTAATGCAAAACTGTCAGCATGCTCAGGTATACCAAATAATATATTGCTTCGGGAAAAGAAAAATCTGCTGCCACAGCCTCTGGTCCATTAGGTTGGAATCATGGTGTTCTTTAAAGTTTTCTTCCCAACTGCCAGGATCTTCATCCTATTGATTATTGATATAGTAAATATTATAAAATGAAAAAAACTATATAGAGACCTTTATTGATATATTGTATGATTACCTCAATTGATGGTACAACTGTTGGGGACATTAGCATCTTCTTCAGTAGTCTCACCATTGTCTGTTCCAGATTCTGATGGTGTGTCTCTTTCAAGATAATCAAGCATATTTTAGAAATTCATATATTTATATATGTAACATAGTCTGTATTTATGTGGTGAATAAAAAAAAAAAAAAAGTTGATCTTTCAAATAATTGTGAATCACTGAAAACAACAGATTCATAGATTCGAAATTAAACATATATAATAAAAATATTCTTACTTTAGGCTTTTGTTTTAAGGTGTTCAAATCGAAGTAGTCCCTTAGCATTAAAGCTTGCAACTAATTCATCTTCACTATAGAAGTCCACTTTAAGAGGATATGTATGTAGAACTACTTTATTTTTGGCAGATGTGAGTGTAATTGCTTCTGTTGTTTTAGATATAACTTTAATCCTAAATATAATAGATAATAGATAATATCTTAATGATGGACAAATATATATATATATATATATATTATATATATATATATACAATATATTAAAAAATACTCACGATTGACCATATAAGTTGTTATTTAAAACATCAGTCACACGGTATCTTGGCTTGAGTGGAGACTTCTCATCCATAACAATTCGGAAAGTATTATCCTGAAGCAAATTTCAGCAATAATAAGTATTAGCAAATAAAGTAAGGTGATAGCAAAATTGCAACTAACTTGTAAACCATATATCTGTAAAATAAATTGAACTCCATTATCTCTGTTGAGAATTATACTTTCTACAGAATCCGCTTTTATATTCAAGCTATCGATGACTAGCTCATAAGGGGATTTATTTGGAGAAACCTTACGGCATCGCCTAAAAATGACAAAAATATATTAATTAAGAGATATACACAAAATAATAATCCAGCAAACATTACCTGCAAAAACTGCTTTTATCACAGGTTTTAAAGTTATTTCGGTCAACTGACCATACGCAATTTAACGACAATATAAAACATGTTAAAACAAAAATACCGGCCGGACCCATTTTGTTTAAAATGCTTTTTTATATGTATCTAGCTGAACAGTGGATAGACAATCATATTAAAACCTACATATGATTAGAACAACTTATCTAAAATTCGATTCTCGCAACACGAATGATAGCGAATCTGCGAATCACCAATCACCCCTCCATGCCACATACAAAAATGATTATAAATTAGAAATTGTCAAACAACAAGCGAAGTGCCGAACTAAACTTATAAGCGGCGCTTCCATCAAATAATGATAAAAAGCATTCACAAGATACCGCTACTTAGGTCATTTGTAGCGACCTGGCAACCCCATCGCACCTCAAATTGACAGTTAAACATTATCTTTGGCTTATCATGTTGGCAACACTGCGCGAGAACCAAAGTGCAAGCTTCAGGATTCGGAAGTTCCTCTTCCTCTTCAGAATCGGAATCGGAACTCCCTCTTCTGTCTGCTGCCGAACACGGGGTATTCTAATATTCTAATATTGTCTAGGTGCCGAACAGTCAACAACATATTTTTTTCTTAATGGAATGCTTCAATTACCAATTTTTTATCCTTCTGGCTATTGGTCAGATTCTGAATATTTTGTTATGATTCTATGATTATTATTTTAATGGCTATGATATGCTTGCTGACAAACATACATATATCATTGCAACTTATAATTTAACTATTTTTGCCTAGTTCAACTACAATCACACAGATGAAAAATGAAATGGAAAAATTAAGTATAAAATAAATTATTTATTTAAAAAAATCAATGTATAAAATTAAACTAATTCACAAAAATATAATCATGATCTTCAAAAGAATATCACAAATTAGCATTGTGGCTACTGCCACTTGAACCCCGTTCACTTTTTGCTAAGTTTATAGAATAAAGGGATGCCATGGTTTGAACATTTATACGAGGTTTCTTGAATATAGAATACTGAAATAAATAACAAGTAATTTATAATAGAACATAATGTGTCATAAATAAAATTAATTACTTTATTATCTGTTGTAAGTTTCCTTTTCTCAACTGCAGGGCTGTTATTTGATAATGTTCTTAATGGCATCATTCCAAAGCTGCTAGATTCAACTTGCAAGTATGGAGATTCTGCATTTTTAGATTTATTTGAGTTGATTAGTCCATTTGTCTTCTGTAAAATTAATTAAAACATAATATTCTAATACATAATTATTCACATAATTCATTCATTTGTTCGCTACATCACATCTAAAAAACATTTTTAAAATTTTTGAAAATGTTTCCATGCTCTTTCCATACAAACTTTGATTGAATTGTGCTCTATCTAAACAATAATATTAAGAGCTAAAACTTTCAGAGAATTGTTTTTTATCTATTTGAAACCAATACGAGCCCCTGGGAGCAAGAAAATTCAAAAATGATTATTTTAAGGACCACTCTAATATATATACGTATATATTAAATGGTAGAGTCTTGGATTTGTGTATATTTTGTAGAGTTTCGAACAAGAATCCAAAAAGTAATAAAAAAACAAAAAAAAAGTTTTTTAATAAACTATTTCTTTATTTATTTATTTATTTACTGTCGACGTTTTGGAACTAGGTACGTTCCATCTTTAGGACATCTGTATGTTTGAATATACATTAGCACTTTTTCACTAAAAAAGATTTTATCAAAAATTGAAACTCATAAAGTTATTTTTCAGGCGAATAGGTAAATTTTGTAAATCAAAATTACTATAAGTTCTGTCTTTTTTAAAATTATTATTTGAAAACCAAACAATATTATTCTCTCGATGTTATGAGATCGGCTGTTAGTAATGAACTACCGAAACGTCGACAGTAAATGAATAAATAAATAAAGAAATAGTTTATTAAAAAACAATTTTTTTTATTTTTTATTACTTTTTGGATTCTTGTTCGAAACTCTACAAAAAATACATATATATATATATTTATATACACCTAAGTCTGTTTTTACACGGAGATTGGTTCCAGAGAATCCGTGTAAAAAAAAAACGTGTAAAAAAAGACATTGATCTTATACAAAATGGGTTTTGTTCCTAATCTCTAAAACTATTAAATTGGTGAAAACAAGAATTTTTAAGAACAAGAATTAAATTAGTGCTGTTCATATTTGCTTTGACCAGTAAAAATTGTTTGTACGCGCTAAAGGGGAATTCACCTAAATCTTTAAGCTAGTGTTCGCAAACTATCGATACTATCGATGGTTTCAGACTTTTTTCTTTCATAAATACTTTTTTGTGATATGACTACTTCGCAAAAATTTAATTTGACAGAAAAAAATTAGGTACATAAAATTTCAAATCGTGCTAAATGGAATAAAATCGTGTAAAAAATTAAAAATATTCAATTTTCAAACCGTGTTTTATCAAAACCGTGTTCAAAAAGACCGTGTAAAAACAGACTTAGGTATGTATATAGATATATATATATATATATATATATATATATATACATTTCCATTTTCATGAAAACTTTCAAAAATAGATTTTTGACTCACAATTAGTTTATAAAAAATTGGAACTATATAAAATTGTGCATATCGTAATTTTGCTTACATTTTTGGGTGGTGTACTTGTGTTATTTTCCACTATGGATTCTAATTCTGTAATACGTTCCAGCAATTTTCCTTTTTCTCTATGTAAATCAGTAAGTTTTTCTTCATCGTTGCTTAAATATTTCAAAGATATTTGAGCCTTTGAGGATAATTTTTCCAAAATAATATAAGAAATTATATAAATGTTTACCTATGCATTTCAAGTTTTTCTTTGAATCGAGTACACTGGGTTTTATATTTAACAAGTTCTAGTTGCAATTTTTGATACCCAACTTTTAGGTCTTTCCGTTTTTCTTCACTAGAACTGAGCTGTCTGAATTTTAAAATTATTTAAGGTATTTAAAAAAATATTCTCAAATTTATACTCTTAGAGATTTTAAATTAAAATTCCTTATTGACAATGTTCACCTTTTGAGTATGGATACAAAACTAGCCAAATCAGCAGCACTTGTATGATTAGAAATCATTGTATCTACTTCACTGGATGTTGATTTTAATAGTAGATCAATTCTAAAATGATAAAAGATCAGTTAAAGATAATAATAATATATATTTCACCATTATTTAATGTAATAACAAACATATCCAAATGCACTAACTTTTCCATAGACTGCATTTTCTTTTTTATTTGTTGTAACTGTTCTTTTAGACCTGATAATTCCTTCATCTGTTCCTTGAAGTATAAATATTGATGTTTCATTGCATCATAAGCTGCCTCTTTTTTTATCAGATTTTCTTCAAGTTTCAGAACCTTTTTTTCAGATGATTTCAACTGCAATATAAAATATTTGCCATCTTCACAAAAAATTAAAATGTAATATATAAAAATTAGTGGATATAATACAAAATAAGTTCAAAGTTAAATTACACTCGAATCGATTGCATTGCATATTAAGTTATTAATTAGTTACTATTATTTATTGATAATAACAAGATTTATATACAGCACAAGCGTCTTCTTCACGGAGGATGCATTCTAAATAAACGTACTAAATAAAAGCACCAAATAAATATTGATAGATAATAAAGAAAAACATACACAAAATAAATAATAAATAAAAATATTCAGAAAATACTTTATCATTTGATTCTTCAAGAGATTTTTGAAGATCATTGTTCCTTAATTTTGCATCTGAGAGCTGTTCTTGTAACACAGCAGGGTCATCGAGAAGAGATCTGTCTGCACAAACATTGAAGTAAATTTTCTGTATGGTGGAGGGTGTAGTTTTACGACGGCACTCTGGACAAGTTGAAGATCTATATAATAATTTACACATAAAACTTTATACAAGTTTGAGATTAGCCTAATGTTCTTTACAATTGTAAAGAATTCGTACCTCGGAAGCCACTGGGAAAGACATTTTAAGTGAAATACATGTCCGCAAGGAGTAACAAATATTTCCACTGAACTTTCGAGTAATTCATTGCAAATGGCACATAGAACTATCATTATTATAGAAAATTATTATATACTAGTTAAATATTTATTCCATAATTTATGATTTTTTCAAGAAGAAAAAGCAATTACTATCAAAACTATTGCACAAATCTTTTAACACATTGAAATTTGAAAGACTGCAGAATAATGCAGAATATTATTATATTGTTTAGGTCTGGGGAATAATGACAGAAAGAACAACGGGACTATTTGTTTTAAAATAAAACCCGCGTTCACTAAGCGTAGTTAAGGAGTTTAGTTATGTTGGCGCTAGTGAGCCGCTGTCAAGTGCATAGATGCTTACTTATCTATGTGCATAGACATACCAGACATAGATAAAAGAAGAGAATGTGCATAGATAAACAAGTTTCAAGTGGTTTCAAGTTATACTTGTTTATCTATGGTTTCAAGTGTCAAATGCAACATGAGAGATTTTAGCCCAAAGAGTAATTTAGGTTGGACATCGCTGGACTAGGGCCTGAAGAACACTGACGTTTCTTCGCAACCAACATGATGTTTTCGACCAACCTTTTGGTTGCTTTTGGTCTAGTTTTGACATTGGCTCACTAGCGCTAAATGTGCGCCTGGTTCCCGACACCTAAACAAAACTTGGCGAACGCGGGCGAGACAACAGGCCCTGAACTCTTCTTTTATCTATGCCCTGAACCTCTGAACCACTCTATACAGTCCGTAATTCTCGATCTGTCAAAATTATATTTCTGGGTAAAAGGTTATTTCATAAATATTGGATTATTATATAGATTTATTTAAAACATATAGTGTTATGATGGCTTCAATATTACGTGTACTAGCTGGTGCAACAACTCATTCTCCTGCTGCAAGGTATAATATTTATAAGTGACATAACAAAGGACATTAAAAGAACATCACGGCGATTAAAAGCTAGTGATTACATATATAGGATAAATGAATAAATATTTACATTTTTCTATTCGGTTTTATTTAATCTCCTGGGTATCATTCGTATTTATTATATTTTATTTCTAGGAATGTAAAGGCATTTTCAGTATGTTCCAGTATGGCAAAAGACATTTCACAAGCGTTAAAAACCAATGAGGCTCCAATTTTAGATAATCAATTAACTGTCATGAAAAGTGATGAAGTAGAACAAAAAGAAAAGCTTGAGGGTTACATTACAGTCCAAGAAGAGGTTTATATTAATTGATATATATTCATTTATGGAGTATGTTGGCAGAAATACTTCATTATCTATTGTGTGGTACACACACACACACACGCATTATATATATATATATATATATATATATATATATATTGCAATTGAATATGCATTGTTCATTAGATGCGCATTGCACCTATATCTGGTATTCCTGAAGAGCATATCAAAACTAGAAGAGTACGTATTTATAAGCCACCAAAAAATGCCATGCAAAGTGGAACCAACAATATTCAACATTGGCAAATGGAATTTGATAACAGGCAACGCTGGGAAAATCCACTGATGGGATGGGCATCAACGTAAGCAATATTTTTCACAAGTTATTCTATCGCATTTATAACTATAATAAAAAGTTATAATAGTCATATTACTAAGATATTAAAACTAAATTTGCAGAATTCAAATTATACATAACATACATAATTTAAAATTGTATTTTTAGAGGTGATCCCCTATCAAACTTAAAAATTGATTTTAATTCCGCTGAAGATGCTATAGCTCATTGTGAGAAGAATGGGTGGGAGTGGTATGTTGAGCATAAAACCACAAAACCAGAAAAGGTTAAAAATTATGGAATTAATTTCTCTTGGAATAAAAGAACCAGAACTTCAACTAAATAATTGATCAATTAAAAATTATGATTGGTAGTGTTACTTTGTAAATAAATATAAACGTGGAATATAAATTTTAACTATATATATGCATAAATTATTCCGAATTTTTATTTTGCAATGCACTAAAAGCCCCTCATTTCAATTCTTTCCCTAAAGGATTTAAAAAGCATCTTAATATTAAAATATATATAAAAAAATAATGAAGTTGAATGCTACTGAAATTGAATAATATATGTATTATTGAAATGAAATATATATAATCTATTAAAAATATTTACAACCTACTCTGTTTTAGACCTTCAAATTTTTGATGAATTTTATATCTGGTACTCGTTTCATTCTCTTTATCTTGTCACAGTTGTTCATAAACGGTACTAAGGCTTTAGGTAAAGATATAGTTCCATCTTTTTTTTGATGTGTTTCTAAAAGTGCTATGAGTAATCTTGGCACAGCGCAAGCTGTACCATTTAATGTATGTACAAAATCTTTACTTCCATTTTTTTCAAATTTTATAGCTAATCGCCGTGACTAAAATATTATTTATATATTAGTAACCAATAATATCTCTTAAGTTGATCATAGAATATTTTAGCAAAAATTCTAGTAAAATTTATTGTTTCAAAACAAATTTTTAGCATGAATATACCTGATAATCTGTGCAATTACTACAACTTGAAATTTCGCCCCACATATTCCTTCCAGGCATCCATGCTTCCATGTCATATTTCCTGATATTACATTATATATTATTATAGTATCTCCTATTTTGTGAATATAATATTATCTCTTAAGAAACACAGTGTTTTTCTCAGTTACCTATAAGCAGGAGCACCTAATTCATGAGGTGGCATGTCTAAAATTTTCACATGTATTCCGAGTGGAGTTATAATTTTTTTTTGTATTTCTATTATATAATCTAATAATTTTGATGATTCATTTGGATGACAGCATAAAAACATTTCAACTTTAGTAAATTGGTGCACTCTAAATAATCAATATGAAAAATTAATTGCTGATCTATGTTTTAGTAATTGCTATATAATAATGATACCTATATATTCCTTTTTCCTGCGCAACACCCGAAGTTTCTGCACGATAACATCTACTAATAGCTGCATATTTTATTGGCTCATCAACATTTAAATTTTGAGATCCAGCCAGTAAGCCAGCTATGGATATTTCAGAAGTTCCTGCTAAGCATAGATTACTACCGTGAGAATTTGATAGATGATAAACCTATGAAAGAATAAAAAATTATAAATACAATAACTAATATCAACAGTTAAATTTTAAATTAAATACTTGATTGCGATCTCCTTTAGTGCTCATACCACATCCTTCAATTATTGTAGATGGTAAAATATCCGGGACCGATACAAACTTGAAGCCATTATTTTTTAATACATTTACTGTGTATAGTATTAGAGCCCGCTCAAGATGTGTTAAAGAATCAATAAAAACATAGCTTTTTGGACCTGTTAAAATATTTGTATAATTATAAGTAAGCATAAAAAAAATAATTAAAAAGAAACCTGTCATGGCGCTTAGATTATCTGTTCTCAATATATTCATTTTATTTCCAATATCTCCCAAATCGAAAGGATTGAAATCAAATTTAGGTTTTGCATCAATGTATTCAACTTCTCTAGGTTCATCATTATAATCAATGACATCAGGATGTGTATCATTAGGTAATTTGTATATCTCTTGTTCTATAAGTCGTAGAAAACGTTCTTTATCTCCTTCAAATGCTTTGATCATTTTATCATTCAACTCATTTATTAAAATAATATTCCCTACACCTTTTCTTATATTTATATTTTTTAATATTCTTTCTTGATTATTTTTATTACATATATAATCAGTCTTGAAACAAGGGTTAAAAGTTTTATAAGTGCATATTTGAACATTCTCTATATGCCAAAGAAATTTACATAATTTTCTAGTTAAATACTTCATGATAATAATTAAACTTCTTATATTAGAAAACTATAAATTAAAGTAATGTAAACATTTGTTAGAAAAAATTATAATCAATCAAAACAGCAATTAGCCAATACATCAGGTCGTAATCCTAGACAAACATGTATATGAGGTTATGTACAATATATTTTTATAGATTCACTTAAAATTTTAAAATATTTAAAATCATTTCAGTATTAAAAAATAATTTTTTTATTTATGAAAAATAATCGTATGAGCTGTAATCTTATAGCGCGACAAATATTGACAAAAATATTTCGTTTTTTATATTTGCATTGGTATATAATTTAAACGTAAGACTAGTTTACTTCATAGACAATATAATAAATATGGTTTACTTCGAATGAAATAAGGCGTACGAATAAGAAATATATATATTTTTAGAAATCATAAATCTACAAACAAATAAGTAAAAGTAAATCAACATTAATTCGTGTAATTAAAACCATGCACAAATACGTAAGTTCTATTTTGAGGTTAAGCAGTATCAATTTTCTGCAAAAACGCAATTTTGCAAAAAACAACAAAATATTATAAATCCTGTTAAAAATATATTGAACCTCGCTTGTAATCATTTTTGTACTAACGCCTTACCCGAAGAAAATTATGCACTTACTGATGAGCAATAGATTCAATAACCAAAGGAAATCCAGAGTTATTAGAGAAATTAAATATTTTGATGCTAGAAGTTCAAGTTTTAAGACAAGATGGGGATAAAGTTCCTAATTATTCATCAATAAAGCTAGATCAATGGGAATATCTCTTGTCAACGAGATCTCGGTGAGCTTACTCAATTCAAGATATAAAAAATGAAACTTTAGTTTTTTTATTCATAAATTACTTATATATTAGAATTTAATATTGTCCTATTGCAGATCAGCAAGAAAAAATATCTAAAATATTTATGGAAAAACGAAAAAGCAAATGAAAATGAGAAGGTATTCAATTGTAGAAGTATATTTAAATAATATATATATATATATATAATATATATATATATATATATAATATATATATATATATATATAATTATGTTGCATAAATATTTGAAATTAATTTGTTTGAATATAATTTTCTTGACCTCAAATAACCAGTCCATAATTTAAAAAAAAATTAAACTATTATCATATTGCGAATCTAAATCATGCCCAAAACAAATCACACATATTTTGCCATAATCGCACACTACAAGTAAAAAGATATATATTATAGACAAACCCTCTAAAATTATTTATCAGTATGCATTGTTATTTAAGGCAAAAAAAGAAGAAATGCAAAAGTATAGAGAAGAATACTTTAAAGAAAGAGATAAAGAAGCCATAGAAAATGAATACAGATTTATTCGGTAATACTTTTTTAAGATTGTATGATACAACAGTGAACCAGTTTTTGAATAATAGGTAATTAAATGACTTAATTCTATACTTTGTAATTAGAATATCTAACAAGTTTCATCAAATATTCAGACTTGTGCAAGCAATGCAATTTGGACAACCGCTAGTTTTGGATTGTTCATACACTGAGCACATGACACATCGAGAATGAATACAGCGAAACAGCTTATGTTGTTATTTGCTGCAAATAGAGCACACGATTTTCTTTTGATTTACACTATTGTAATGTTAATAGGCAAGACCCGACCATAAAACACTCAAAAAATTTATACTGAGAAAAAAAATTAAGTAATATATAAGTATAGAAATATATACTTTGTAGGTTTTCATTATAATTTTTTTCTACATTTTTGCATATTTTCACAGGAACAATGGATGAGCCTTGGTTCCCATTAAATATTCATGAAGATAGTTACTTAAACCATTTTCCTAAGGAAAGATTAGTTTATTTGACACCACATTGCCGAAATAATTTAGAAGAGTTCAATCACGATGATGTTTATATCATTGGAGCTATGGTAGATAAGGTAAATATATATATATATATATTATATATATATATATATGTATATATATATGCTAGGATTCATAAAAATGATAACTGTACTGAAAAATAGATTTAATAAGATTTATCTGATTCAAAATATTTTCTCTTTAGACGAATACTGAACCCCTCTCATTAGCAAAAGCTAAACAGCAAGGCCTAAGGATGGCCCGTTTTCCATTAGATAAATATTTAGCTTGGAGTAAGAGTTCAAAAAGTTTAACATTAAACCAAGTATGTTCAATATTATTAGATGTCAGAAGTACTAGTGATTGGGCACAATCTTTAAAACATGTTCCAACTAGAAAGGTAAGATATTTTTCCTCTAAGATATATATATATATATATATATATATATATATATATATATATATATATGCATATAAATCTTCTGAAGACAATACAAAAAAATCAGAGATAAAATCATAGTTTATATTTTTTTACATTTTGCACATAATTTTTTAAATATTACACATTTTTTTTTAAAGATTATGTCAGATGAAGAGTTATCACAATACAAAGGAAAGAGAAGATTTGAGCGTAAATCTCCATTCTTAATAGACCAAAAATCACAAAATGGATTTGAATCATTTAGTGAAGGTTTCAAAAACTTAGATAATTACGAGAATTTTACTAATGATTTAGAAATGAAAAAATATAAAAAAATCAATAATAGAGACTTTAGGAATAATAGCCATAATTACAACAAAGATATAGTATCACAGAGAATAAATTTGAAGAAATTATTGAGGATTAATGTAAACATTTCTATTATAACATATGTAAAAATAAATAAATAATATAAAATGGATATGAATTTTTGTTTTTGAGATTTAAAGAAGTTTACACATTGTTTCTTAAATATTTGCTATATATATTATATATTATATATATATATATATCTATATATATATATAATATATAGATATATATACGAGGTCTGTTCACAAAGTACCCGGATTTCGTTTTGTTTTTTCAAAAAATATTTATTTATTCGTCTACTTATGTGGTCCCTTCAAAGAAGTCCCCCCAGATATAATACACTTTGCCAGCGTTTTTTCCAATTTTCGAAGCACCCTTGATATTCCTTTTTGATATGTCCTTGAGCACTCTCAGCGATTTTCTTCAATCGAGGAAAACCGCCGTCCTTTCATGGGTCTCTTCAACTTGGGAATAGGAAAAAGTCACACGGAGCCATATCTGGTGAATTTTTCACTTTGCAACACTTTATTTCATTTTTTAACAAATTTAATACAAATTCTTTGACTTTCAATTCTTCCATTGTAAAAATCGCCGAGCTCAGAAAAACACGTCGAACCTTAGCGACTACCAGACAAAGTAAACATGAATTAGCTGAAAATTTCATCATACTTTAGGGGAATGTATACCAACACATAAAAAAAAAATTTGACAATCAGACACTCCAACCCGCGAAATTTAATTATTGTAATTCCGGGTACTTTTGAACACACCTCGTATATATATATAATACACCTAATACAATTACTTAATTTTATGACATTAAATAATACTGTTCTAAGGGTTAAATAAAGTATTAAATACCATCTTGATTTTAATAATTGTTTTAAACTATATAATGGAATAATAATAATTAAATATTATGTTCGAATATAGATTTGAATATCTTTGAAAGTATTTATATACTATAAATATCGTCTATTCATTTTGTTGATCACAAATGTTGATGTTGATATTTCGCAAAGTTGTTCCATTTGTCACTTAATAAAAACTATAAAATTTATCACATAAAAACAAATTCATATACTAACGTATCTGAATGATTATTCATAATCTATAACACAGATATAAATAAATAAATTGTTTAATATATGAGTATTATTAATCGCATTAAATGCTACTAATTTTATGGAACTTTAACATATAATTCTGAAATCCATCAAATGGCGTTTTTATCTATATAATTTTTTTTGTTATTGGCTTTGATAAATTTGGAATTATGCCCAGACCTAAATAAAAAAATACAAATTATATGCAATAAACTTGAAATTTATTGAATTTAAAAAAGAATTTTTTTTTTGAAAATTTGAAAATATTTTTTTTTTATTGAAATATTATAATATTTCAAACACACAACATGCATCTTATAAAATATTTATAAATATCCCAAACGAATTACATGCAAAAACACAAAATATATATATGTTTCATTTAAGTTACTATACTTACTCTTAAAGTGTAATCCCAACTTCCAGTAGAAAGTGCTGTACCATCTGGGAAACTTGGAGACATGAACACGATTTTCATGACCAAAAAGTAAACAGACTCGCTGGCATTTCAAAGTGTCCCATACATTCACTGTATAATCATTGTATCCAGCAAATAATAATCGTCCTAAGTGACATAAAAAATAACAGTTCTTAATACATATTACATAAATTTATTTTGCAATTCATCATTCCAACAAAAATCACATCATGTTTGACTTTAATATACATAAACATAATAAAAAATAATATGACTTACCACTGACTGAAAAATCTACAGAATTTGCTCCAAAATTATACTATTTTTTGAATAAACTGCAACCTCTTTATCAGCTCGCATATCAAAAAGTCGACACTATTGATAATCAAAAACAACAAACATGTATAAATAAGCATAATAAATATTAAAACAAAAATGCTTAATTTTCTTACTGTGCTATCATCTGAACCAGTAGCAACTGCATCACCACTTGGGTGAAATTTGACGCTATTTACATCACTCTGATGACCTTCAAAATTTTGAACAACTTGCCCTGTACGCATGTCCCATATAAATACCATTTTGTCACAGCTCTGTTTTTCAATTAATTTGAAACTTATTATTGTTTATATAATTTTTTCTCATAAAAATGAAGCTTAAGCATAATCTTACCCCACTGACAAACGTATTACCAATTTCACTTGGAGCTAAATCAATTGACATCACATCACCACCATGGCCATGAAAGTTTTGTAACAACTGACCAGATTCAACATCCCATAATGCACAAGTTGAATCACCCGAACCAGTTAAAATCTTAAAATAAGTTAAAATAG